GCGCCCCAAGGGATGACGAGGTCCAACAGTTATAAACTACTGCAAGACTGTTTCAGGTTGGGCATAAGGAAGAATTTCTTTACTGTCCGAGCCCCCAAGGTCTGGAATAACCTGCTGCCGGAAGTGGTTCAAGCACCCACACTGAATGCCTTCAAGAGAAATTTGGATGCTTATCTTGCTGGGATCCTATGACCCCAGCTGACTTCCTGCCCTTCGGGCGGGGGGCTGGACTCAATGATCTTCCGAGGTCTCTTCCAGCCCAAAGGTCTATGAAATCTATGAGACTTACCCATCGTGTACGTGTGTGTTATGATATACTCTTTAATTACAGATCTGCCCTGCCTCCACCAATGCACAGGGTGGCCCTGGCTCTGGCAAGGAACTGGGATCAAATGCCAATAACGCACCCCTGCCTCCTTCCTTTCAGTAAAGCCAGGACGTGCACAATGACCAGGGAGGGGACAGCAGCCAGTGGGACTGCAGCCCTGCCACATGTTCAAACAGAAGCTGGGCAGAAACCAGCAACGAATCTCTCAGCACTAGCACTAGCTTTGTAGCTGGCTAGGGGGAGAGGGGGTTGGCTGTTTTTTTTAAATAGCTAAAGGATCCTTTTTAATCACCTGAACACACCGTTGCCCAGCCTACATTTATTGCACAACCCACCAGCCAATCACCCAATCCTACCTTTACCCAGCCTACATTTATTGAACAACACATCAGCCAACTGCCCCACTGCACCTTTGCCCAGTCTACATTTATTGCGCACCCCACCAGTCCATCATACAATCCTACCTTTGCCCAGCCTACTTTTAGCGCACAACCCACCAATCAATCACCTGCTCTACATTTATTGCGCGACCCACTAGCCACCTGCGTGATAAACGTAACGTTTACGGCCAGCGAGGCCCAGCCTGGTTTCAGCCGAGCCCCCCCACCCCGGGCCTGGCGCTCACCCCTGCAGTTGAAGCCGGCCGGGTTGTGGTAGTCGAGCGCCGTGAGCTTGCGGCGGAACATGACCCCGAACAGCGACCGCACCTCACCCGCCTCTGGGCCGCGGGCGACGCCAGGCAGCGAGGGAGGAAGAGGCGGTGCTAGGAGGGGAGGGGCGGGGAGCGAGCCACCCGCCCATTGGACGCTGCTGGAGAGCGGCAGCGGTCGCCGCCAATGGGCGCATGCAGCGGGCGGGGGAGGGCGGGACTTCCGGGGAGCGGCTCGAAAAACTTTATTGACAAGGCCGGAAGCGGACACGGACAGGGGGTGGGGTTTAGGCCTGGTGGCGAGGCGGGGGTAGAGCCCTCAGCCAGGTAGCGGTGGGGTCTGCCCCTTTGCTGCCCCCATGCAGAGGCGCACCCCTCACCGCCTGGGCGAGGATGGGCCAAGCACCTCCAGGTCGAGCAACCTAGCAGCTTGTCCACCCGGTGTAGGAGCTCCCCCGCAATTAATGGATTAAACTAAACCAGATTCACTTTGGAGCTAGACACTTTAATGCTACACTGTATAAAGGACGGCCCAACATGTGAGTGTAGTGATGCGCCACAGACCGCTGAGCACCTCCTCACGTGCGCAGCACACCTGCATCCCCGGGATGGGGACCTGGCCAGTGTCCGTGATAAAGCCGTTGCGTGGTTCTGCCACATTAATGTTGTGTAGAGGGGGAAATTAAGTATATGAGAAGAGAAGATTGCTCTGAAACTAAGGGAGTTTCTCCTGAGCTCTCATCTGAATCTGCCTTCCTGGCATTTAAAACCTCTCCTCATATGGCTTGCCTTCCAACCCCTTTACGTTATTACTCGCTTCTGGGCCCTCTCTATTGTCTCCACGTCCTTCAGATGCGGAGCCCAGAACCGCAGGCAGGACTCTAGGTAAGGCTTGCCCAGCCTGGGTGGTAGGGTGGCACTATCACCTCCCATGTAAAACCCTAATACTCCTCTTCATGTATTGCAGGGACATTTCTGCCCCAGGGAGGTCACCCCCGGAGCAACAAGGCACCCAGCTTTCTTGTACCAGACAGAACTGCTGAACTGAAGGCTTTAGTCTGCATTGAACTTACCCTTCTTTGGGTAGATGTGATATCTCTTATTAGACCAACTAAATAGTTGGAAAAATTGGATAGCACATTCACCCAAAGAACCGTGTCTGCCTATGTCCTTAGACTAACACAATTACAACCAACACCCTTGAATTTATCCTGTAGTCTCTAGTCCAGCCTTACAATCCATCAAGATCCTTCTGAATTCTACTTGTATCTTTGATGTTTGCAGTCCTTCCCAACTTCATGTCACCTGCAAACTTGATCAGAAAGATCCTTATCAGGCATCCGAATCATTAACATAAATGTGAAACAGCAACAGATCAAGGACGTCTGTAGAACCCAACTCAAAACCTCCTGTTGTTCCGGCCTTGATCCATTTATAATTACTTTGCTTGTGGTTATGGAACCAATTATCTGCCAACTTTGCATTAATATTATCCAGCCCACATTTCTCCAGCTTGCTTACGAGAAAGTCATGTGGGACTTTTATCAAAAGCCTTACTGAAGTCCACCTACACTATGTTTGCTTCATTCCCTTCATCCACCCAGCTAGTGACTGTGTCAAAGAAAGGAGTCAACTTGACATGGCATGATTTGTTCTTAAACTATCCATGCTGGCTGTTAGTGATTATTAGCCTTTCTTCCTCCAGATTTTTTCCATTTTTACAGATGTTTTCCAGTAACTTCCCGGGCACTGAAGTCAGGCTGACCAGTCTATAATTTCCCAGGTCCCACTTTTTGCCCTTCTCAAAGGTGGGCACTATATCGACCCTTTTCCAGTTGTCCTGTCTGCAACCATGTGGATCTCCCACAGCCTTGTAAAGATTATTGATGAGGGCTTCAAGAGCTCTTCCACTTCTTTGTCTATATAGTTTTTGTTAATTGTCTGGCTGGAATACTTTTTTTTTTCATGGAGGCTGAGACAAAGTTGTTGAGCAACTCTGCTTTCCCTAGGTCTACTGTTAGTAGCTTACCCTGCATGTTTTAGCAGTGAACCCACACCTTTCTTGGTTGACCAAAGTATTGAAACCTGTGGGCTTCTAGATGCTCCCAGTATACCAGTTTGGAATGTCCTCTACGTGCAAAGCAGTATTGTGGAACGTATTTCCTTAAGAACAGCTTTTTTACTGTCTGGCCTAGGATACAACAACTGACAAGTAACATAACTTAATATGAATACATTGAGCAACATAACCTAATTTGAATGAATTAGCTAGTAGTTGAAGTTATCACTGTTATATTGCTCCAGATGGTTGGGGAAACGGGAGCAGGGATAGAATATAAGCACGGTGGATCCAGGGAGATTGCACTGGTGCATTTGCACCTGCCTTTGACTTCTAGTCCACCCAAAGCTTCAAACCAACTGCCTGGTAGTGGCAGCAGCATTTCCAATCAGGGAGTGCTGAGGGAGTCACTTGGCTTCATGGCTCATGATCATCTACCTGATTCATAGATTTCATAGACTTTCAGACTGGAAGGGACCCCAAAGGATCGTTGAGTCCAGCCCCCAGATCCCTTCCAGATCTTCCTTCCACAACCCATTCTTTTTTTTTTTTGATGTCTTGATGTTCCACCCATCAAGTGACCCTTTGTTCAGCTGCCTGTTCGCTGCTCCTGCTCAAGAAGCTCCTATTTTACAGCACTGCATATTATTTTTAACTCCTTGCAATGAAGTTATATTTGTTTTTTGCTTCAATCTTAACCTGAACAACATACTCCTAGGCCCCTGGCAGGTTTGTAAAGCTTCTAATTTATTTTTAATTGGAGAAAAATGTGTGTTGTTTTATACATGATGATGCACCTCACCATCTACCTTTCAAAATTCTAGATCCGCCCATGAGTATAAAATAGTATTTACTGAAGACATAACACAGTTTGAGTGGGCTCGTGCATCTGTGGCTTGCCACTTGACCTCAAGATGGTGGCAAAAGGCAATTTTTTTCCTGGAGAAAAATTAGGTTACATCATAGCACCTGAGAAAGTGAATTTGGGCTCACAAAAGCTTATAATATACATCTGATTTAGTTAGGCCATAAGGTACAAATGTACCCTGCCTTATTTCCTTAAACTCATTGCACATGGGTACTTTTCTCCTCTTTAAAACTTTCAATCACAGAGCAGCACAGGTTTCTTCCCTTGTCCTCATTCCTTTGCTGTATCATTCTGCTAGAAATCTTTTGATCCCAGTAGTGGACAAGGGTGTAAGACAGCAGTGCTCAACCTTTTGTCTCCATGGGCCAGATGAATGGTACAGGGCTGGTATGCAAGCCAGATCAGGCCCTGTGTGCCAGGACTGGCCCCGTGTGCCTCCACTATCCCACAGTTCTTGCAATTTGCCAGGAGGTGAGTGACAACTGCTCCCTCACCACCACATTTTCACAGCTGCAGGGAGCCCGACAGGCTGGGTGACTTGGCTTCAGGGACCAGATCTGGCTCATGGGCTGGGGGTTGAACACCACAGGTTTAGGGGAGCACTGTGTGGGACATCCTAAATATCACACATTAATAGTCCAAGAAGAGGGGGCACTGTTTGACCTTGTTTTTTGGCTTGAAGCTGTTAAAGATATTAAGTGGTGCAGAACTGTTTGTATAACTAAGAAGTGCTGTACTTGGGTATTGGTTCTAGTGAGATGGCCAGTGAATTCAACACCCAGATTTCCACATATTAAATCAGGGATTTTCGAAGACAGGATCTCAGCCTAAACATAGATATAGTCCTCTTCAAGGTGACAAACACAAGGAAGACAGACAAAAAAGTAGCTCGTGTTAGAATTGGAGTATGTCTAACTAACCCCAGTCCCTTTAGTCCCTGCTCTTATGCTCCTTTCCCCACCTTTTCTCCAAACCACTGTTCTATAACTGATTTAGACTCCACCTTTTTTTTTTTTTGCAAAGTAGGCACAACACTGTACCTACAGACCCTGGCCAAAAGCCAACTGTAGGTAATACAAGTTTCTCCCTTTCTTCAATCTGTATAGACAATTTGTCCAGAATCCAATCCCAGAATGTCCTATTCCAGATACTGCTTGTATTGAGGCTGCAGTATGTTTCTCTCTTACAGGCACTATGGAAGAAAATCACCAGGATCCACTCCTTCCTTCTAGTACTGTATGCCAGGTCTACAGTCAAACGTGCAGATCTCAGATTGGCCTCTCCAGTCATCTCTAGACTCACCAATGACTTCCCTGTCTACTGGAAGACTGTCGTCTGTGTATTGAGGGACCGCCAATAAACTGGATCACTGCTCATGTTTTCCTAAAATGCACCGGTGAGGTAGGTGCCGATGCAACCAGTAGATGCAGGGTCAGAAACTGAACCATGTTACCTGTAGCCAGTCAGGGGACAGGGTCTCTGACTGCATGCAAAATCAAAGTAAAAAATTGCAGTGTGACTAGAACCAGAGGGTGTCTGACCTCAACAAGGACCTGATTCTGTGGACACGTACACTGGATGTAATACAGTCAATGGAACTGGCTGAAAGACTGGGTTGTAAAGAAGCAAGCAGTGTTAATGAGGGCCCCAAATTAGGAAAATGTAGAAGGAAGTAATACCATTCTCTGTACCTGGCAGGGAGCAGGGGATAAGGAAAGAACCAGGCTGGACACTTGTATAAGAATTTTCCACTTTGTCCCATGCAGTCTAACATCAACGTTCCAGCAGCTTTGTTGCAATTGAGGAACATTTATGGAGCTATCAGAAATCAAAGCTAACTGGGGATCTTAAAAGGCTATTTTTATAAACAGGAGAGTATACACTAGACAGCTGCAGCCTTCCCTACACACTCAGCAAGTTTCCCTCTCCCATCATCATCACAAACAATATTCATCCTGACACCTGCTTCCATATTTCCACAATGCTTTTTCTCGTTAAGTAGCTGGAGCTTAAAACCAGACACATCAAAATAACTTCTGAGAGGCTTTTAAATGAAAACCCATCCTCTGCGTGAGGATGACA